TGAAAAATTAATCACGTTACGTCGTGGTCATAAGAATTTGCTTCTCTGCACTCTATAGGAAAGTTGAAAATGGAGACAACTTGAGCTTGGTTGATAGTTGGCATATCTTTCTCTTATGGGTTCACATTTGGTTTTCTACATTAAGAAGTTAAATAGGTTGTCCCAAAATGAAGCTGCAATCACCATGAAATAAGCTAGTATGATGGCCAAATGGGGTTATGAGAATATTGCGTGTCTCAGTTGCACAGTTGCATTGGCTTATGGCACGTTTTTAAGAGTTCTAGTAAAATGTCCTTGAGAGGGCTCTTCTCATTTTCAACTGAGATCCTGTGATCTTGATGCTTTTGTTGTAACTTGGAAGACGTACATTTTGTAACCAATGTATACTGTGCTTTTTGTATACAAGCTGTATGGGGACGAGTGTTCAAATTGCATGTAATTAAGTGCCAAAATACGGATATAATAACACATTGTTGGTTGGCATTGCGTGTTACGAAGGTATGAAATTGTTTTGTTGCCGAATTTCTAAATTTAATGAAGCTTCAAGAATCAAACATGAATGAGATTTTATCTACGTGAAGATTGCTTCTTGTGGACAAAGAGCGTCTTCAAGCCTTAAGGTCTTAAAAGCATAGCTATTTTTGGTACAATTAGCAATGTCAACGAGCCGAGCCCGAGCCCAAAAAAAAAGCTCGAGCTCGGCTCGAGCTTTTTTAGGCCGAGCTTTTTTGGGCCCGAGCCGGGCCAAGCAAAGATCGGCCAAAAAAAAATGAGGCTCAGCCTGAGCTTTCGGTCCGAGCCTTAGCGGGCCGAGCAGAGTCCAGACCGAGTCGTTCGAGTTTTCGTTTTTGTTTTTTTAATGTCAAATCCACATTTTTACTTAAAAAATTTAAAATTTGTACGGTTTATACGTAATATAAATTAGCTAAAAAAACTCGGGCTCGGTTCGAGCTCTTTTGGGCCCGAGCCGAGCAAAGCCTGCCCAAAAAAATGAGGCTTGGCCAGAGCCTTGGCTCGGTATAACCGAGCTTTTTCCGAGCCGAGCCGAGTCGAGCCGACAAGCTTTTTTGCCATCCGTAGTTACAATGCATTTCCTTCTTTACAAGAATGCAATGGAACCATGTGGGCAAATAGAGTAATGTGTTTTCTTTGTTTTAACTGCAGTGGCAAAGAGGACATCAGTCTTTGATGACCCTACCATGGAAATTCAGGAGCTGACCTCAGTTATAAAGCAAGATATTACTGCACTTAACTCTGCTGTAGTTGACCTCCAGCTTCTTTGCAATTCAAGAAACGGAAGTGGAAATATTTCCAGCGACACCACCACTCATTCTACTACAGTTGTTGATGATTTGAAGAATCGGTTGATGAATGCCACTAAGGATTTTAAGGAAGTCTTGACCATGCGGACTGAGGTGACCTGAGATGTTGCTGACTAATGTTTCTATTGATTAATCTATTTGCTCGCTTCTATTTTTTTGACAACTGAATTTTTTGTTATATCCCATCAAAATTAGATCATTTAGCAAACTATAATTTTGTGGATTTTTTGCAGAACATGAAGGTTCATGAAAACAGAAGGCAGTTATTTTCTTCTACTGCTTCCCAGAATCTGACAAATTCATTCATTCGCCAACGACCTTCGGCTGCAAGTACCTCAGCTGCCCCACCTCTTCCATGGGCTAGAGGGGCACAATCTTCTTCCCTAGTGTTCTCCAAGTAAGAATGCGATTACTATGTCATCTCACTGATTATTAATATAATCCACACTTCCTGGAGTCAGTTAAAGGAAATGTATGAAACTTCAACTTATCGTATCTTTACCTTTGAAAATGAAAAATGTTTTGTCTGATGCTTATACAATGGAATTTGCTGAATTAAGTACTTAAAAAATCATTTTGGACTTGAATGCAAATTCTTGTCCAGCCTTTAGACTCTAGATTGATCAAACAGGGGCTTAAATGAATCCAGCTATAAAGAGATCCATTTGCAAGTAACCTTATTTTGTGCAAGTGCTGCACCAGGAATCAGGTGGATGGGGAGAGTCAGCATCAGCTGCAGCAGCAGCAGCAGGAGGTGGTTCCATTTCAAGATGGCTACATGCAGAGTAGATCTGACGCTCTTCAGAATGTCGAATCAACCATTCAGGAACTGGGGAATATCTTTAATCAGCTTGCTACCTTGGTTTCTCAGCAAGGAGAGATTGCCATCAGGTTTACATATAAACTCTAGCCTTCTACAACATACTTAAATAACTTGGCGTTGTCAAATAACAAGTAAGATTTGGAAAAACTGATATGCCCTTTGCGGCAATTCTCATTAATAGGCAATTTGCCCTAATGCTTTACAAGGAAAAGAGAAATTATAGGGATCTACTAATGTCTAATATATAATTCCTGATAATTAGGATCTAAATATGGTTAAGAATATTATACAACTTGTACAAACATTACAGACAAGTAAATAACATTTAACATGTGACAAATGAGCTTTAGGGCTCTTTTTGTTAACAGGTGTTTCGTACCAGTTAATGTCATGTAAAGTTTTTGTCCTTGAAGCCGAAGACAATTGTTTATGATTCATTAATGCTTTCATGAGCTCATTGTCAAACATTGTTCACAGTCCATACTCGAAATGCATTTTTTAAGTATGGTATTTTTTTAAAGAATTGGTAATGCTGGAGCGTGTTACTGTTCTTTTCAGCAAAGTTATAAAATTCTATCTGTTATTATTTAACGAACTTTTTTGTTGTTGTTGTTGTTGTTGTTGGAGCGGGTAATAGGTAAGGGAAATAAGCATGTTCGTGGAAAAAGAGCATTTCCATGGCTAAGTTCTAATAGAAAGATGAAAAAACATTTTACAAACTTAAAATAATGAAGGATCTTACAAGTTCTTTAGTTTAAATATGAGGCTATATATCTCAAAATATTTAGAAAAATCCATCAGTGCAAGAACTTGTATTTAGGTCTTGTATATAGAAATATCATTAATTTTTCCTTATCGCCTTACCAAGGTTTGCATTCCATTTTAAATGCAGAAAAAATAAGTCCCATTGCATCACTTCACCGCTGCCTATGAGAGTTTGTAAACAACTGATTGGAAATGATTGTTTGCATGAGTTCGTTCATGACATGTATATATGTTAATACAAATGTTTGTTAGATTAGTATCTTTGTTATCCTGTCATATCTGACACTCTTTTATGATCTTATGTAAAATGTGTGTAATGTATTTCTTATACGGCACGTTGTGTGCAATAGATATTTCCAATCATTTCCATTTTCGGCTAGATTAGTCAGTGTCCGCTTATAGTTAATCTACCATAACATTCCATAATATCTTGAGAAAAGAGAACGAGCTTCCAATTGGTTAAAATATCATAAGGTGTGGTATATTGGGACGTGATGTTTGGGCTGTAAATGTACTTTAAACCACCTAGATGGAAAATATAGTCGCTTTATGTGAGCATAATTTCAAATAGCATATTGTTTTCGACTTTTTAACCAAATAATTATCAGTTTTGAAAGATTATTATGCATTTACGATTGAAAGATTCAGTTATTTCTTCCGGTGGTGATTTCGAGCCTGAGAATTTTATCTCGTTGTAGGATCGATGAGAACATGGACGATACACTATCAAATGTAGAGGGGGCTCAAGGGGCTCTTCTCAAGTATCTCAAAAGAGTCTCGTCAAATAGGTGGCTGATGATCAAGATATTTTTTGTGGTGATTTTATATTATCATGTTTTTCATGTTCTTTGTGGCGTAGTACGCAACCTGACACCACATTTTACGTCTGTCTATTAATTTTATCTAAAGTTTTGCCATTTTGCTCCTCTTCATGACTCTTGTATAGTCCAAATGTAAATGTGTATAAGTTTTGCTGGAAGGTAACAAGTTCTGTGAAGATCTTCGCGTTTGCCTTTAATATTCTGGCCTCAACCCCGCTAAACCGTGCTAGGTGAGTCCAGGAGGATATTCTTACGAGCACAAGTTAATTTACACTTCTACTCCTAGTGCTAGTTTATGGGTGAATTTCTGAAAAATGTCGGGTTGTTTTCCATTTGAAGTATTCAACTTCTTAGTTCTAAACCAGTTTGATGAAAATATTGATGGCTTTCACATGATGAAGACAGTGTAGTTGGCAATTTTTGTGATGGAGTTGGTAGTTTAAGAGACGATGTAACAAACTTGGCTTGATAATATTACAAGAAAATAATTTTTAATATATATTCTATTTGTTAAGGAAAATGTTTCAATAATAATTATATAATATGAATTGAAAATCGAAATGACAAGAATTTGAGTACAAATTTTCAAATTGTATATCAATGTTCACACGTTACTAGGGATGGCAAGAGAGTGTGATCACCGTCACGCTAGTCATTCTCCTCTCTCCCTTGGGTTTTTTGTCTCCTTGGTCATCCCCATCCCCAATTAAGGTGGGGGTAGTGTCGGGTGGGACAAGTTCCTTGTCCCGTTTATGATTTTATTTTTCTAATGTCTTTAGTAGGCGAACATCACTTTTTTTCTTTTTTTTTCAATTTGTAGTACAATTCTTTTTTTAAAAAAAATTATGATTATCCTTTTTTATGATTAATAAGTTATTGTAAAATACATTTTATCAAGATGTAGATTTCGTTTTTCATAACCGTCCAGGGGGCAACGATCCCCATCCCCGCCCCGACCTCGACCTTGCCCCTTGTTAGCTGATTAGGAAGGGAGCCCTCACCTCGTTTGAAGTGACGCTTCGTGGGAATCGAATTTTCCTGCCATCCCTAATTTTGACTTCATTACTAAACATCTTTAAAGGACCATACACACGCAATATTTAAAAGTTAGGGATCCAGGTACTAAATATCAAAGGATGGCAAATAACTTAATTGGTTTTTTTTTTTCCCCCTTCAGAAAATTAGTGTTATTTCTCAAAAAAATCTGGAAAATATGATGGAAAATGCTAAATATACATAATAAATGTAAACAATGGATGACATTGATGTGGCAATCATTTATCATTGATGTGAAAGTGTAGATCTGAATTAAAAATCTTGATCACCGTCACTTGTAATTACGTAGGGTAGACCATTGTATACTTGTAACACCTATCAAATATAATCTGGATTTTCGGTTTTTCCATTATTGATTTAACTGGAATTTTTGGCTTTCGATTTCTGTTGTGAACATTGTTAATCAACTTTGTTTGATTTCAAGTTTCTAAAATTCGCTGAAATTACATTTGAGAGTTGAGATTTCACGTGAAATTCCAGTATTTTATTCGCTTTTTCGAGTTTAAAAAGTGGTGGGAGGTGGAAATAGGAAGGACGAAGGATCGTTCACGGTGAACAACAGCAATGTTTTTGCGGTGCTGGAGAGGAGGAGGAAGAAGTCCTACAAAGAGAAGGGCTCCGCAAAGAGCAGTAAGAGTGTGTTAAAAGCTGGGGCTGGGAAATCAAAAGAACCGGAGGAGGAGAAGCCTCAGGTATTTTGGGCTCCAGCGCCTTTGACTGTGAAGTCGTGGGCTGACGTGGATGACGAGGATGATGATGATTACTATGCCACCACTGCTCCACCCCAATCTGCTTGGGGTGTTTCGGAGTTGAGCAAACCTAAAGAGAGTCAGAAACTGGAACCTGTGGAGGTATAATCAGAAAAAGAACGACGAATTGTTGTTTGGCTTTTCTTATTTTAATGATTAAATGGTGATCTTGAAAGCTTGGTTTTGTGTTTAATTTAGTAGGTTGGTTGTTTATGATTGTTATTTGCATTTTCGTTTGATAAATGATTAATTCAGGCTGATTTGGTGTTCAATGGTTTGCGATTGGGGGATTTTACTGTTGTTTATTGGGTGTGATTTTGATAAGATTGGATTGGATTGTACCATCTTTATGCATCATAAGATAACCATTTGCATGATTCCATTTTTATTTGCTGAAGTTTTTCTTTGATGCACGTTGTGCCTTCTCTGGTGATTAATGAAGAAAGATTTACGTGTCCCACTGTTTTCTCATTTCTTTTAATCTGCATTACTACCATTCATCCAAGCACCTCGCAATATGTACTTTGTTCTTTATATGCTGATCGCATCAAAAGTCTCACATATTTGATTTGGTAATGGTAGTTCCGCATCTGAATTTGTTTGCCACATAATATTAGTGTAGTTTCTTAAGAAATTTAATGACGATGATTGGTTTGAATTGTGGATTTTGGTGATTGCCAGACTACAGATGTCATTTGGGGTATATAGTATGCTGATATATTGGTCGAAAATTTATATGGGTTTCTTTGATATATTGATTCATGCCTATTTGGGGTATTCCTGTAATAGCTGTCAGCCTTTCATGCATTAGTCCTTGATTTGCATGAAGTTTCATGGCTAAGATCGTGTTATCACGCCTTTAAAGTTTAAATGTTGAAAAATGAATTTTTTCCCTTTTAAGTAGATTCTAGATATTTTATAATTGATTTTTAGCAAAAGGGACTTTCGGCATTCATAATTATATCTGTTAGGATTCGTTATTTTTGCTTTTCATCAGTATCATTCCAAGTTGATTCTATCCTTGATTAGGCTTAGCTTGGGTTTGTTTGCTGCAGTTTTTGGAAAACAAAGAATTCAAATAGAAATATTCTGTTCAAATAGGAAAATAACAGTTTTGGCTAATACAATCAGACTTTTTTCCACCCAGTGAAATTGTAGGGAATAAAATAAAATAAAATCAAAGCTGTTTAACAATTTAATGTTTTATATGACTTCCACTCTTCCAAACACAGCACACAAGAAATCTGCCCCCACCAATCTCATCTACTAGTCCTCCTACCCCCACTCATTCTGCTTGTGTGCGTTTGCGTGAATGGTGTGTGCGCACCGTCTATCAGCCTGACTCTATGTATGTGTATGCTTGTGCACCAATGAACACATGCAGCTCTGTTTTTTTTCTTATTTTCCCCCTCCTCATCTTCCTGTATCTCCAATGTTTATACTACAATTACAACTAAAGGGATCACAGAAAAGAAACCATGATCGGAGGCAAAAAATGGAAGTTGCCTTCATTAACATGTCACCATTCCTATTCATTTTCTCTTGACCACTAGAATTTCATGTCTCACCAGCACTTCTTTATTCATGGCTCTAATTTCTTCAGCAATATCCAATTTGTTATAGGAATATCCCTCTGTCATCATGAATGGAGGCTCCATGCATCTCTGAATTCATTTTGCTCGTCTTCTCATGGAGTTGGTAATGCCATTTGTCCCCTTGTGAAAGCATTTTGTTCTTGTTAACTAAAATGAAATTTCTGAAAATAGGATCATTTGCAAAGATCCCTTGTGTGGAAGAAATGGTGTCACAAAATTCTTGTAGTTATGAAAGTATCCAATGATAAACTTGGGGTTAGGATAGATTGCTTGCCTCAAATGTTTTATCATGACTTCACATCCAAATTGCAGGAAAGTGAGAGTGAAGATGATTTTCTCGATGAAGGTGATGGTGACATGGAAGAAGAGCATGATCATGAACCAGTTGTGGAAGAACAGACTGAGCCAGTAGTGAAGAAGTCTGTAGATGCTTATCCAGTGACTAAAGAGGCAGAAAGACAGCTTTCCAAGAAAGAGAGAAGAAAAAAGGAGCTTGCTGAGCTGGAGGCCATTTTGGCAGAAATTGGAGTTGCCCCAAAAGAGAGAGCCATAGATGAGTCATCTGGTGATTGTGTACTCTTTTGTCTCTTGGAGATATGTTTATTTAGGATGTCATTGAATTTTTTGGATAAATCTTTTCTAAATCTATGCATACCACGTTTATTTGAAGTAATTGTTTTCTTTTAAACTTTCCCTTGTCTCTTGAGCATGTTATTCTGGGCTATTTCTATTATACATCAGAGACTAATCTGTATATTCATTCTCTTTGTCAGTCTTACCATCAAATATGTGACAGTCAATGGTGCTACAACAGTGTAAAAGTATTTTGATTGATTTACATCGAAACTGAGCATCTCATTTTTATGCACATGCAGATATTTCCAGAGAAAAGAAAGAGGGACATATGAATGCAGATGTAGAAAAGAAGGATGGTGTCCATGCAGAATCCAAGAGTTCAAAGAAGAAGAAAAGGAAGGATAAAGCTTCAAAAGAGGTGAAGGAATGCCAGGATCAGTCCAGCAGCTCAGATGTTCCTAATAGACAAGAGGAAACTACTGAATCCGAACAAGTGAAAGAAGACACATCTGCTGTCAATGTGAAGGAGCTAAAGAAGGCGGCATCTGCTAAGAAGAAGAAATCTAATAAGGAGATGGATGCTGCTGCCAAAGCTGCTGCCGTGGAGGCTGCTGCAAGGAGTGCAAAACTTGCTGCTGCTAAGAAGAAAGAAAAAAACCATTACAATCAGCAGCCATTACGGTAATAGCAGATTAGCGGAGTTTAATACAAATGGAGATGGTTATTGAATTGCTCTGTTACCCATGTGGAATAAACTTTTGAGCTCCAGCCTCTTTTTTCTTGATAACATGTTACCAGACAGTTGTGCTCGGTGAATATTTGTTTTAACTTGGTACTTTAACCTCAGAGTAGTTTGTACGAAATAGTACTTTTTGCAATGTTCATTTTATCATTTTTGTTGAATGTAAATTGAGCCCTCTATTTGTGTTTATCTTTTAATTCTCTCTGGAGGAGGAATCGATCTTTTAACTTCAGGGATTCGTGTATAGATCAATCAATTGAAGTGTAGATTGAGGCTAGTTTATATGAAGCCAATGAGGCTTGCTTCCAGTTATATTACTCCTATGAAGCATGAATGCTTTATAGCGTTCCCTATCTTTGTTGCGCTCATATGATCTCATATTGGTTAGTACTTCAACTTTTACAAGAATGAAGGCATCACTGCTTTTACTTTCAAGCATAATCCAAAAACTGCAAGATACTAAATGCTCAAAAAGCTCAGAAAATTTCATTTCTTCCCCTCTAGATTACAAAACAATTCAAACATTATTTCAGTAGCAGAACACGGTATTTTCTATAGCTAAACAAAATTGCATAATGAAAACAGAGCTTGTCTGAAGAAAAAAAGGACTAAATAATAAAGAATGAGCCTTCACCAAAATCTCCACGGGTCCTTGTACGGAGGAACAGTTTTCTGCGGGAGGTAGAAGATGAAATGAAGCCACAGTTATTTCAAAAAAAGGTCCCATCTGCAGGATACAAAGTGAATCATTTTTCTCCACACCATTCAGTTTATTGCTAGAGCCACGGGAAGATCTATAGCAACCAGATTCATAGCAATAATAACACGTCACATTAGTTTAGTCTACTCCTCCCTCCTCTTACTTGTTCTAGCCTGCATTGCTCGACGTAGGCAGATCTACACGGGGGTAGTGGGGTCTGCGATCCCCACAGTAAATTTGAAATCCAAGATTTTGTAATAGACTTTTCAAAAAAAATCTTTATAATTTTCAATTTTGCCCTCACAATTAAAATTTTGTGAAATTTGCCCCCACAACTCTACTCTCCTGGCTCCGGCCCTGTTGTCAAGATGAGTCTTTTTAGGATTACACAAACGTGCCGAAACCATATATGTCATCCTTCCCTTATTTTATCCTCAATGGAAACCGCTTCCAGTTTATGACATATATTCTCATTTCTTATCTTATCCATTTTAGTTTGATCGTACATCCACTTCAGTATCCTCATTTCACTATGTTCGTTATATGGACATTTTGTTTTTAATAGCCCGACACTCACAACTGTCATTAGATGTTTACAACAACATAACTCACAGAATGTGCAACAAGAACTGAACTTTCAGCCATACTCTGACTGGAGATGACCCGCTGTAAAAAACCAATACGATATTTGAACACTTCCAAGAGAATGGTCAAATATTGGAACGAGTAAGGGCAAGAAAACCCTGTGAATTGACTGTGCATAAGCAGCAGCTTTAGTGGAGACTATAGAAAGCCCAAAATGCTATTTTTGTCCTTTGGTTGCGAATACATTAGTTTAAACACAAGAGGCAAATTACCAGAGCAGACTTGTCGTACGGGTGTAAATTTGGCTCGCCAGCTTGTCTGCCCCGAAAAGCAAAACCAATACGATATTTGAACACTTACAAGAGAATGGTCAAATATTGGAACGAGTAAGGGCAAGAAAACCCTGGAATTGACTTTGCATAAGCAGTTGCTTTAGTGGAGACTATAGAAAGCCCAAAATGCTATTTTTGTCCTTTGTTTCATTGGTTGCGAATACATTAGTTTAAACACAAGAGGCAAATTACCAGAGCAGACTTGTCGTACGGGTGTAAATTTGGCTCGCCGGCTTGTCTGCCCAGGAAAGCCCGAGTTGGTCCGACTTGTGGCTCAAAAGAACCAAGCCCCATTTTGGGGCGTCGGCTCAAGCCCGAGCCAGCTCATGTCACGGGCCATTTTCGACCCGTAACGAGTCGAGAATTTAAAAACAAAAATTGAGTGAAAAGATAACACTGTTGCCTTGTGCAAATGTTGCCATAACAGGCAGCTACATGCAGCTGCTTTGACCTATATTTCAAATTTCAAAAATAAATAAAAATTGTCATGAATTTGAAAAAAAAAAAATTGCAAGCCTGCTTAGCTCGCTAATGCTCGAGCCTAGATTTTTTGGCGAAGCAAAAGCTCTACTTGACTCGGGTAAAAAAAAATCCAAACTATTTTTACTCAAGTCGAGCCCGAACTTCGAGTTTTGACTCGCGAGCCGGCTCGACTTAGCTCCTTGGCATATCTAACTTGTCAGATAAAACAGAATCAGCTATATCTTTGGCACTCCATGCAATTTTCTCCTTTGATTTCAAGAACTTGGAATAACTCGAGCTCGTAGGCTCATCTGTCATGGCCTTTGAGCTTGCAAGCCGACGAGCTGAGCCCACAAGCTTGAATTTTTTTTAAAGTTACCAGTCACTTTTTTGACGAGTGTGAACTTTGGGCTCGTGAATCGTGCTCGCAAGCTTGACAAGTTGAGCCTTGCTTAGGCTCAACATACCAACCCCTCGCGCCACTCGTGCTGGGGTTCATCCCGACACGAGTCCGAGCTGCCCATGGGTCGAGCTTCGACGAGTTGACGAGGTATTCAGTCCTTTTGCAACCTCTAGACCTATTTGAACCAAATAGTATAAAGTTAAACTCTTAAAGAAAACCCATAAAGACATGATCAAGTTGTGGATGAATAAGGGATCAAAATTACCGAAACAGAAATTATGAGGTTGTTTATGATATCAACTCTCTTAGACACAATGCGAAGCCGTGCATCAGCTGTATATTACATCCATCAGTGTATAGGTAAGCTTATAAGTGATATTTCAAATATCAAGTTACTCAAAACTATAATACAGATTCCACCTATTTTCCAATACCGTACACAAATCATTACTACCAAGCTAAAACTTTTACTTCTGCATTTTGATAGAGGAATAAGTTTACAGACTTACGGGACAATGGTGCAGCTGATGAATAACGGTCTGGCCTAGATTCCACCTTCAAATAGATGAAAAGAGTGAGGTTCCTACAATGAACGATACAGGAAAATTAAGAAGATAATTTTTTTCATTAAATCGAGTAGTAAAAGTGTACTTTTTCATGTCAAAACAATAGTCATTGGTATACCATTCATATGTTATGCAAAACAAAGCAAATCGTGAAATAGCAGATAACTTCAATTCATTCTTCTAGTGATAGTTTTTCTCTCTGTTGATAATTTTTTGCGGTTGAAGAAATGGAAAGCTACAAGATGTTTCATCAGATGCATCTTTTATGCACAGAAGTTGATGGTTAAGAGCCTAAACCATCATAGGTTGGATTAAGAAAAGAAAAATTATAATTAAGAAAATGAATGAGGCATGCTATGCATGGAAAAGTATTTCTTCAGGTCCGGTCCAGTATTGTGCAATAAACATGCAATAAGCGCGTGTTTCAGCCACATTATTTTGGAAGAATGTATTTTGGAATAATAGATTGATAGAAAATGTCTAGTTGAAAAATAAGGAAAAGTTATTGATGTGATGAAAAATATTATTTTATTGAATAATGTGTAGTTGAAAATGAGTAGAAGAATGAGAATGAAAATTTTAATATGGTTCAAACAGGGGCTAAATAAACATTGACAGTACTTGTTTGTTCACGGCTTAGCTCATTTGCAGGCCTAATTAAAAATCACCCCTCTCTAACAGCTTTGTGAAAACAATACATTTATAGAAAAACTGGTAAAAATCATTTTTAAAACAAGATATTAGAATCGCTCTGATACTAATTATTATAAAAAATGGAATGCTCTAATACCAATTTATTGTAAGAAAATAAGAGATTAAGTGCAATATGAAATAATTAATTACAAGAACACAATAGCAATGTAATTTTGTAGATAATTGAGATTCTGTTAAAATAATGGAGAAATAATACAAAGATTATGTATTTATGATTTGCCTAACTTAATCTAGCTTCTTCAATAATACAATAAAGAGCTAAATATATAGGGAACAACTAGAGGAAATCCAAACCCTTATAGTATAGTTGTAGATGAAGTAGAATGTCAAAAAGGAGTCCACAAAGGAAAAAGACAAAAAAATCAAGCAAGGGTGAAACAGGTAGCGGTGCTGCCCATGAAGCGTCGCAGTGCCATGTATGACACCCAACGTCGCAGTGTCGGGCCAAAAATTGTTGTGGCGCTATGGTGCCGCGACGCCTCTTTATTCCAAAAATCTCGATTTTTTCATCCCAATGTTTTTTTCAAGTCCAATACAAATTCATACTCCCAATAGATTTCTAATTAGAATTTGTCAAGTAAACTTGAATATGATTTCATAATTGTATTCCAAATAGGATTCTAATTAATGTGCACCTTAATTAGAACTCTCCATCAACAATTCCAACTAAAAATAAACTTGAATTTTTCAATGAAAAACACAAACTGGCTTATCCATCAACAATTCCAACTAAAAATATTCTCCTCCTCTGTTATCCCCAACTGGGGGCAAAAGTAATCTAATGACCACCAAATAAGGCTAAAACAAGACCTGTAATAGAATCACAATTGAATGCATCAAAGGAAAGATCTTGGCTATAATCAACACCCTTAATCACATTCAAACCATCAACAAATCAGCAGAATTGTACCTATGTGGAATCTTATGGCAAAAAATTGGTCTATTTCTAGCAATTGAATATAATGACACCGTCAATAATGGTGGCAAAACGGATTTACCCATATCTTCAAAATTCAACTGAGATGTATTCTTAAAAGAAGATCCCCAAATTAGACTCCAATGATACATAAGCCAACTCTAAATCCACTAGGACTGGACATGGTCCGATTTGGTCCTGTTCGGTTCTGAAAAGAACCAAACCGAACCAAAATTTTCGAGTATTTAATAAATGGAACTGTCAT